CATTTGTCAGTGGGGTGACCCAAATGCCAGGGACCTTCCAGGACCCAGAGAAGCCTGCCCTAGGCTAGGTATTGACTCCTACCTGTGACTCTTTCTTCACATCACTGTGCATCTCTCCCCATCCCCCAATCCACTTACAGGATGATGAGAGCCTGAAGCACCTCACACACGAGGAGAAGGACGTCATCCTGTTCTTTGAAGAGACTCTCGATTCCCTGGAATATGACTTTGATGAGCCAGCCCTGTGTGACAGTGGCATTCATTGCCACTCTCCACAGTCTCTGGAAGAGAGCCCTTCTAGTCACTCGGAACCTGAAGATGTCATCGATTTAGTCCAACCAGGCCCCGAGAGCCATCCAGATGTGGCTCACGTAGCAGGTACACACAGGTTCCCACGCCTTTGACTTGGTGTGGTGGTGCACCCGAGGCACCAGCACCTTCTGCTCTGTCTGCCTCTGCTTGTCAGGATAGACACTCTTGAAGCTCTTTCCAGCTTCTAGAAGGCCGAATTATCCTCTTGGTAGTCTCTCCAGCAAGGGGAACTCCAAAAAGACTGAACAAAAACAGCCAACTGAAAGGGGGGGGGGACCAAATGCGCATATAGATTGTGTGGTGTTGTGTGGTGTTGTGTGTATGTGTGGTGTGTTTATGTGTGGCAGGGCACCTGATTTGTGCTGTGTGATTATGTCCCATTTCTAACACATGACTCTGTGAGGTAGTCCTAGAAAGAGCAGGCAAGGTGCAGGCCAGCGCCCTCTTTGTATGCCCTGCATCACTGAGCGGCATCCATGAAGATGCCCATTGAGGGGGCTGGTGAGATGGCTCAGTGGTTAAGAGCACTGACTGCTCCCCCAGAGGACCCAGGTTCAGTTCCCAGCACCCACATGGCAGCTCGCAGCTGTGTGTAGCTCCAGTTCAAGAGAATCTGACCTCATTATACCAATGCGCATCAAATAAAGTTAAATAAAGTTTAAAAAAAAAAAGATGTCCATTGAATCCTGGGATAGAACTGGGAGGATATGGTTAGTGAAAAGTTTCTTACAGCCTTTATTTGCCGATGGGAAGCGATATTAAAAACAAGTGAAGGAGGCACCCAGGACTAGACGAGAGACGAGACAGAGCGAAAACACTTGCACTTTGCAGCCTGTTAACACCCGTGTTTGTCATAAGCTTCAGGGGAGGGTGTCTTTCTTTGTGAGACGGGGTCTCACTGTGCATCTCCAGCTGGCCTGGAGCTTGCTGTGTAGCCCAGCCTGACCGAATCGGACCGAACGCTGTCCTCCTGTTTCCGCCTCTCGAGCACTACAATTACAGTATATGCCACCATTCTTAGCCTACGTATGTTTTCTTGTAAAGCAAACTGCCTTCCTCAGAATTGACATCCCACACAAAAGAGCATGGTTTGCAGCCAACCCTTGAGAGAAGAGACATTAAATTTTGCATTTTTCTTTTTTACACTTCTGCCTTAAAGTATAGTTTCTAAAGTAACTTGAACCAACTGATCCTTTAAACAGATTGGATCATGTAATCACACCAAAGAAAATGGGTTTGGAAAATTCCCAGCAATTCTCTAACCTACTATTTTCTTATCTTCTTTTGTTTGCTTGCTTTTTGAGACACGGTTTCTTTATGTAGTCTTGGTTGTCCTGGAACTCGCTGTGTAAACCAGGCTGGCCTTGAACCATAGAGATCTGCCTTTCTCTACCTCCTGAGTACTGGGATTCAAGACAAGCACCCCCATCCTCCACTCAGTGCTTTCTGAAGCCCCCTATGAGGTGGTCATTGCTTGTGTCCTGTCACATGCCCCCAGGGCTAGGGAGCTTCAGAAGCACACCTTTCCAGACTGCTTCCTAGCTGGTTGTTTCTGGCTCTAGATCTTCACCACCCTTTCAGGAATCTGTTGGGTCTCGGTGTATTCTCAGCAGTGCAGGCAGCAGAACCAGCATTTTGATTAGGCTTTGTAGAGGTTGGTAGTGTCCCACTGTGACTTTCTAAAGTTCAGCGGCAGGAATGCCACGTGTCTACTTTTAGCAAGGTGAAAACTTACGAGGTCTCTTTTCTTTCAGGGGCCACATCTGTTCCAAAACAGGACACTCCCGTTCCTGAAGGTGGAAAAGAAGCCGCTGAGAATTCCCTGCCACCACCAGACTCCAGGGATCCTGAGGTGTTTCCTCTGCCGCCCTCTTCGCCTGTCCCTGCGCCCTCGGCCCCCCGAAAGGAGCTGATATCCCCCTCTCCTCCGGTAGAGCATCCCAAACTGTCCCGCTCCGTGCCCACTCCTCTGGTGATTGCTCAGAAAATTTCTGAGAAGTTGGCGGGAAACGAAGCCCTGTCCCCCACGTCCCCGTCAAAGGAGGGCAGGCCTGGGGAATGGAGAATGCCGCTGACTTCGATAGCCTCTCGAAATGGGGACCAGATCGGCGTGTGGCATCGACACACGGCCCAGTCGGCGCCCAAGGTCCACCGCTTCCCCAGCAACATAAGCGTGACCAACAGCGCGGGCAAGGACTTCAACAAGACTATCTCCAAGGCGGCTGTCAACGTGCAGGAGCGGAAGGCCCAGGTCCTGGCCAACATCAACGGCATGTCCTTCATCGCTGCGGGAGACACGTCATCGGAAGAGCGGTGGCAGAAGGCTGAGGAGCAGAGGGGCGGCTCTGCGGACGGGGGGCGCGCCCAGAGCAGGGTGGGCATGGCCGGGGAACCCGGAGGGTCCCGTGCAGGAGGCCCAACCAGGGTGCAGCAGTCCCGGGCCGTGCAGACCGAGCAGCCGTCAGCACTGGCCAATGGCTTCCAGAGCGTGCATGAGGCTCTGCGCAGCGAGCCCAGCGCCTTTGTCCCCACCAGCAAGACCATCACCTTCCGTCCAGACCCCGCTGTAGCGGGCAAGCTGGCGCGCCAGAATGCCAGCCGCAGCCTGTACGAGCCGCGCCTGGACGGCTCCCAGGACGCCCGCAAGCGCACAGGCTCGCTCCCCCGGGCTGTGGGCTTCCGGCCACAGGGCATCACAGTGCAGTTCTCAGGCCGTGGCTCCACAGAGGAAGCACGACGTGAGGCCCTGCGCAAGCTCGGGCTGCTGAAGGAGAACTTGTGATGGCCACGGTGGGACTGCTGCAGTGATTGGGTAGACCCTGTATCCCCGCACTGGGTGTTCTATTCAGGAACCGGGTGGCACAAAGAACTACATGTTCGGGGAAAATGCCTCTGCCCCAACCCCTGTGTCCAGTGCAGCGTGGAGCCAGAGGCCAGTGGGGCAAGGACCTGGCCCCCAGAGCTGTCCTCTTCCTTTCCTGGGGTCATGGGATAACCTTTAGGACCCGTGGGCTTCCATGGCTGCGGATGACCTATGACTTCCATATATGAGGACGGCCTTGGCTTGACTTGGTCCAGGATCTCTGATTTGAACCTTTATCCCACGCACAGGACTTGAAAGCCAGTGTAGTTCTCTGATGCTCAGGATTCCCCCTCCTCGAAAAAAAAAAAGAAATGCTTGTTAAATTTTATAGTGTCAATATACACTTTGAAGTCTAGCTGTTTGTGTGTTGTGTATTTCTGAAGAGTAGAAGATGGTACTTTACCAATCTGGATTTGTTTCTTGGCATAATTTGGTTTGCCCCATTTTCTTAACTGAAACTCTTAATGAACCCTTTAGAGTAAGATTTACTGTAATTTTTGAATTGTAAGAACAAAACAGGATGTCAAGTTTGGAAAAGGTGGTAATTATGAGAAAGCAAGTCTCATGCGACCCTGGGATGTGTGTATGAGTCTGTTGTGTATAAATATGTGTGCCTGTGCTAACACACATGAGTATTGTGTGTCTGTGTATGCACATTTCTTAGGATGTAAGTATCTCCTTCTGAAGACACCGTTATCTAACTACAGGATATGAACACTTCCTTTTCTCTCACAGACACCTTGGCACTGTGGTGAGCACTACGAAGTCTTCCTATTATGGAAGTTGGCTAGGGACACATGAACCCCAAGTCCCTTTTCCTCAACAGTATGTTCTGTTCCCAATTAAAGTAGTATTTCCTGCTTTCAAATAAGCAAGATAGTTCCTGTTTTTACTTAAGAACATTTTTTTTCATTTAAAAATTAAAATCTTCTTTGTCACCTCACTAGTGTTGTGTTGCAAGGTAGTAGACGGAAGGAAACGATCTGATTGGTTCTGCTCCACGAACACCGTCCTGGGACTCGAAGGAGAAAACTGAATTCATGAAGAGTTTTTCCTCCCGGACTTTGTTTTTACCGAATTGTGGCCACAAGTGTTATTATCAAAACAGTTTAAGGCTGGAGTCTCAAACCTCTAAAAATAGATGGAGAAAGACTGGCCTGGGAGGAGCCACACCCGCAGGTCCTCGGCGGCACGGTGACAGCCCTGTTTCTTTTCCAACTGAGAATCACTGAGACTCTGAGCCGTTGAAGGCCATTTTCGCAGAACTCCACTTGCTTTGTAAGGTCCATGAAATGAATGATTAGGTTTTATTTCTTCAGAACCATGGTCTAGCAACTCGCCCAGCTCTTTCTTCTCCTGGTGTCTTCGCAAACATTTTTTAATCCTACTTAAGTAAGGGCTTTAAACTTTTAAAAGTACCTTTAATTTTACTCCTGCTTATGATGGATTTTTTTGATAGGAGCCCGGAGGTTTCCCTTTGACAAAGCCAGATGCCACACACACAGTGTTTAATAATTGACGGTCTCAGAACAGCTGTTACAGATGTTCTTCATAGAGGGTTTTCCCATCACTTTATTGCGAATAGACTGAGTTTGACTGTAGATTAATATATTCTTGTAATGACATTTTTGAAAAGCAAATTTTTATCCTACCTATAAACAACTGTGTTACATTATGCACTATATTACTTCCTTTTAAAGGGTTATATCTTTTTCTTCTATTTATTCATGTTTTCTGTCTATTTAATCCATGATTATATTGACTGTTACTTTGTTTCTTGTGTCCAAAGCCCTAATGATTAAAGCCCTATTTTTGTGAATGGTGAGGGCCCTGCTGTGTGTATCCTCTGCTGAAAAGCATTAGTTTCCTTGCAGTAGTTATGGGGGTGTGATGCTTTGTTTTGTTCCTTTGTTTTTAAGACAGGGTTTCTCTGTAGCTTTGGAGCCTGTCCTGAAACTCGCTCTGTAGACCAGGCTGGCCTCGAATTCACAGAGATCTGTCTGTCTCTGCCTCCTGAGTACTGGGATTAAAGACGTGCGCTGCCATCACCCAGCTGTGATATGATATGACATTCTTAGATGACATCCAGTTCCCGGTGTTGAAGGACCATATTTCAAAGCAAGATTGTAACGAAAAGTAAAGGTAGATCCAAAGTCCCAGTTTCTCCTCAGCTGACATTATAAACACCCCTTCATTTCTAGGAAACTCTGTTGTGCTATGTAAAAGCCAGAAAACGAACAAAACAATTTCTCCTTTCCTTTACTATCTTTACACAGATGTCCAAACTAGAGTCCCACAGCCACAGCCCTACCTAGCTGTCCCTGGGAGCAGCGTCTGCTCCAGCTCTTGCCTCCTTGCTGCTAATCTGCACCCTACCTTAGTGTGCCTGCTCATCTGCACAAAAAAAGGCAGCACCTTTGCTCTTTGCTCTCTTCCTCACTGAGGTTACACCCTCTTGTAATGCCTGCTTGAGGAGAAAGGGGGGAGTCGGACTGTAGGATGTTACCCACCAGACGTGCTGAGGCCCCTGACACACACAGTGACTGACCACGGAGCCCTCAGCAATCACGAAGTGTACAGACAGACGGGGCTACAGAAATAGACTTTTGACTGTAGAAGTCCTTTGCACGCAGCGCTAGTGGGGGGCAGGGTAGGACCCCACTGAGAACTAGCTCTCACGAGGAGTTTGGTGGAGCTGACCAGGGGGCAATGGAGCCCTAGTATCAGAACAAAACAAAGGGAAGTGCATTCTTCCCAAACCCCCAGGGCTTTGGCTGGGAGGACCAGACCTTTCCCAGGATTTAGTGGCGACTTCTGTGCAGGTGATAATCAGTTCTTTAGCGTGTATTAAAGAGGAAGAAAGATGATAAATATGACAGCAATTTACTCTTATCAAAGAAATGTGTGTCTGCTACACAGCTGTTTTCCTAGCTGGTACAAGTACAATGAAGGCATTGTTTCTCTCTGGCTGCTTTATTGACCTGGCAAGGTTAATAAACTTAGTTTTGCCCTAAACTGTGTTCTCAAACTTCTGTCATCCAATAGCGGTGTAGTCTGGATGAGCAGTAGCCTTGCTTCCCTGGGTCCCTTGGCCTCGTCCTGGTCCCCAGCCAAGACTGCTGGATGGAAGGAGGAAGGGGAGGGTCATGAATGTTCACCTGGAGAGGTTTCTGTTCTCTCTAAAGTGACAAGTCACCAAACAGGTTTTGTGTCTTCTCTTCACAAGGCTTTCTCCCCCTGGCTTTAAAGTATGGGGACACGTTCCCATATCCTTTTCTAATCTACCAGTTGGACAAGCTGTGCTTTCAGATACCTGAGAAAAAAAGAAGCCCGGGCTGTAAGCTGCCGTGTCCTGGGAATGTCGCTGCTCTTTGTGACTGAGTTTGAAATGGAGGCCCAGTTGGAAATTCAGTTCAGCCACTGGCCTCCCATTCAGGGCTCTCTCACCAGAATCATCTGCTTTCTCTGGGCATCAAAGCCAGGGGTGGGGGGTGGGGGGAGAGAAGCAGCACTGGGAATCTGCCTCTGGAGATGCTGGAGAGACATCACATACTTTTCAGCATAGAAGGAATTAGCCTTTGCGGGTGGCAATTGATGTGCTTTTAAAGGTGTCTTGATGCAGAAAGATACAGCAAAACCATCCTTCGCAGTCCTGTTTCCTAAGCCTTCTGGCTGGACCTGGTGGTGCACTGCTGTATTAGCCCTGCTTGGGAGGGGGAGGCAGGCAGATGAGTGAAGGTCATCCTCAGCCACAAAGCAACTTTGAGGTCTTCATAAGACCCAGTCTTCAAAATACGGCAAAATTCCAGAAATGCCACTCCCTCCTGGCGCCGGTGACAGCGGCGATGGGGGCGGGGAGGCAGCACAAAGAATCCCCAGGAACAGGAACCTTTTCCTTCAGTCTTCCTCCTTGTCCTTCCTCTGAACGGCAGACACTTCCTGTTGTGCAACTGTTAAAGGAGGAAGGAGGCATAAGGAGGACTTCCAGAAACATCTGTGTGGCCCTCCGCAGAGTCTCCAGCCTAGAGGAGGACAGCGGCTCATGGGTCTCGGAAATTTCTAACCAGTCCCTCGGGTGTCATTGCTTTATGGTATCCTGGGATCTAGACCGGGCAGGTGAGGAGGGGTCTTCATGCTGTGTTTAATAGAGGTTCTCAAATCCCAAGCTTACCTCAAAATTCTCAGAGCCCGCCGGGTGGTGGTGGCGCACGCCTTTAATCCCAGCACTTGGGCGGCAGAGGCAGGCAGAGCTCTGTGAGTTCGAGGCCAGTCTGGTCTACAGCGTGAGTTCCAGGACAGGTTCCAGAGGATGCACAGAGAAACCCTGTCTCGAAAAACAAAACAAAAGCAAGACCAAAAATCCTCAGGGGGTCATCTATTTCCTGGTCCTGGCTGGAGCCATACTTCTGAGCTTCCGGAGCCTTTGGAAGGGGAAACTCCAAACTACAGACTAGCCACTCTTAGGTTCAGGGCTCCAGTCCCCACTGCCAGCTGTGGAGGCAGGCTGTACCTTTCAGCTGTAGTCACAAAGTCACAGTTGGAAGCTGAAGCTAATGGAGCCTCGTCACCGTCACCAACAAACAGGTCACCCTTTGTCAACTCTAACTATAGATATGTGCGTGTGCAGTCAAGCTGCCGAGGTACCTGCCAAAATTTTGGAAACGTTTTCAAAGGGTGAAGCTGAATGAAAAGGAACTCTAGGCCAGGGAGTTGGCTTGGTACCTGTGTGTGTGCAAGCATGTGTGTGTGCAAGCACGTGTGTCTGATGCGTACACTCTTCTAGAGCAACCAGGCTGGCGTCAGCCCTGGCCTCTCTGATTTGCACTCATTATATTGGGTATACTGGCCTTGAGTATTGTCACAGGCGGCTAGAGGCCTCTAGGTCTCTGTGGCCTTTGGGAATGACGTAAGCCCTTGGTACGCCTGAAATCAGGTTGCTTGTAAGTTGCTGTGATGGCAAGTTTCAGAGTTCTCTCCAGCTTCCATCTCATTCTATTGCCCAACAGTTTCCTGGCCCATGAAACTAGGTAGACTTTGTCCATCTGTTTGTTTGCTGTCTACTTGTTTGGTGTGTGAGCGTTTGAGTTTGGGGAAGATGCACTCTGCCTTGTGAGGCAGAATGAAGAAGGGCTTGTGGAGCCCAGGACACTGTATTTCCTGGAGTACTCCTGCCTATCTTTTTACATAAGCCCCTCCAGCCAGGCCCCTTCCCCGAGGGCCTCCAACCGCCAGGTTCCACCGAAGAATACTTTAGGTGGACCCTGCCCCACCACCCTATAGAATAAAAAACTCAATCTCTGGATGTGAAATTCCACCAGTCTCTACCCTGAAAACTTCACCCTCCTGGCAAGAAACTCTATATAAACCTGTATCCTGGTCGGTTTCCTGCTGTTTCTTTCCCTGAGCAGAGGCAGCCACCCTCCCATTTTCCTACCTCCTAATAAATCTCTTGTGTGAGGTTTGTTGTGTGGTGTGATCTTGTGGTATTCCTTGGCTCCCAACTGCCAGGATACCTTTCCATTCAAGCTGTTATGCTTATATTATAAACTTAACCATATTCTTTTATGTTCATATCCATGTTTCTGAAGCTTTCAAAGTAAGGTTATTTCTCTCTCTCTCTCTCTCTCTCTCTCTCTCTCTCTCTCTCTCTGTGTGTGTGTGTGTGTGTACTGTATGTGCTTGTGTGCACCTGGAGGTGGCAGAGGAAGATTATCAGCTGTCTTCTCCTATCACCGATATTCACCTTATTCCCTTGAGACAGGGTCCCTGGATCTCTAGTGAAAGAACTTGGAGCTTAACTGCTTTCAGCTAGTCTCCCACCACCCCCACCACCCTCACCCCAGCCCTGACTCCCAGTGCTGGTGTTACAGGTACATAAAACCACGTTTGACTTTTTTATGGGTTCTGGGGATCTGAACTCGGATCCTAATGCCTGAGCAGCAAGCCCTCTTCCCCCAGCAGGCCACCATCACCCACAGGCTACCCTCAAGCTTCCAGTCCTCCTACCTGGCCCTCCAGAATCCTGGGAGTACAGGTGTGTGCTGCCATGCCTGGATTCTCAGTTCACTCCGAAAGAGTAGGATTAAGGCGTGTCTGATGTCAGTCAGTGGGAGTGTGTCCATGACTAAAGAATTTGCTTACTGAGACAGGGTCTCACACTTGTCCTCCTGCCTCAGCCTCCGGAGCAGTTTGGGTTACAGGAATAAATCACCTGGCTCTACTTCAAACTAGTCTTATTCTCTAAAGTTTGGGAGGTAAACCAGTAGGTGCCAAATAATATCAGTCTCTTTTATTCAGCAAAGCCTTGTGTCCCTTGCCCAGGGTGGTTAATTGAGTGGTGATAAATACCCTTTCGGTCCTAAATACCTGCCAGGGGTGTGGCATGAGCAGTGGCCACTCAGGAAGGTTCCTCTCCGCCGGGTCCTCCTGGGGACCCTGCTTCCACTGCCCTGGTGGCCTACAGTTGCCTCCCCTCCCACCCCTCTGCTGATGCTCCAGCCAGGCCTGGACTATTCCTCCTAGCCTTCTGTTTTCTTCAGTGTGGAGCTGGCTGCACCCCATCAGGTCATCAAGAAGAGGGTGTGTGCATCCCCCTAGTGCCTCTCCACAGAGCTTGTCTCCTCCCCGAATCACTTCCTGCTCTCTCCCAGACTTGGAGTTATGGTCCTCCTACAATCAGACCAGGTGTGTGGAGGTGGGGGTGGGATGGGGGTGCTTTTCACTTTGAATGCGATGAGCCTTGGTCGGTCATCTTGAATCTGGGCCTGGAGCCCACACAGCTGAGTCTTTGGGGAGAAGGGAGGGAGTGTGCCAGGTCCTGCAGCAAGGGCAGGAGCCTCTGACCTTGGAAGAACCACTTCAAGGGAAGTCTTTGGTTCCCTGTTTCCATCCATTCTCTCCAGGACTTGATTTGAAACTCAGAACTGCCCTCTGCACAATGGGAACTTGGGGGCAGGGGTTGCCCAGCTGCCCACTGCAGTCCTTAGAAGTCACGGCAGGTCCTGGAAAGACTGAGAGGCCTCAGTGCAACGCTCTGGCCAGGGCTGCAGGTTCCAAGAAGACACGGGTGAGAAGGCGCATGGTCCCCATGTATCTGGCCCCATTCCCTTCATGGTACTACCACTGTGCAAACCCTGGCCCTCTAACCATCTTGGCAGCAATGACGACAGTTCTGCCAATGTCTGAAAATGGTGTTGCTGACATTTATACCCCATTCTACCGAGATGTGCCTGCATCAAAGAACATAGTGTTTCCTGCCTTGGGAGGCGCTACCCTTCCCTTAAGCTTGTTGCTATTTTTGTAAATTTTTTTCTGGCAATAACCACCTTCTGTGCCTTTAGGCCAGACAGTAAAATGAACACCTCACCATTTCCTTTTAGGCTTTTTCCCCCTCAGTTCAGTCATCCACCTCCTACAGTCTTAATTCTAGGAATGATTTGCTATTTCTGAACATGAGATCCAGGCAGGGCTGTGGGCACACCTCTGCCATCCCAGCACTGGGGAGGTAGAGGCAGAAGGATCAGGAGTCCAAGGTGATCCTGGGCTCAATAGTGACTCTGAGGCCAACCTGGGCTACATGAGACTCTATGAAAACAAACGCCTCAGTTAACACATGACCTCAGAATTTTGGCCTCTGGGTTTCAGATCCTACACAGTGCCCTCCAATGTGTGAGTGAGGAGGAGAGAGAAGGTCTAAAAGGTCCCGAGGGTTGGTGTGAAATGGGTAGCAGTTCTACTGGCAGGAGGGGGAAGGGTGTCCACCCACACGGAGGATCACCTGCCTCTGAGTCCCCAGCCTGTGACTGCTTACTATGGGTCTGACCCTTGGAGCCCCAAGGGGGTTGATGGGGATGAGCCATCCTTAGCTCTCAGGGTCATCGAGGGGCCTGAGTGAGATCACAGGCTTAGCGCATGACTGGCTCACACCGCCATCACCACAGCTACTGCCCACACCATGATGACAGCAGGGAAGTCCCTCTTGGCCCTGGGGACCTGAGCAAAATGTGGAGTGATGGCCGCAGCAGGACAGAGCACTCTGGTGTTCCACAGAGGTCCCCAGCCAGCTTGCAGTCTGTGGGGCCTGGCTTCCTGCTGATTCCGCTCCACAGGGAACTGAGCTGCAGGGCTTGCCCACTTTCTAAAAATATGTGTCCAGAGTTTGTTTTCCTTCTCTGGGGCTGGGTTTGCCTGGCTTCCTGCTCAGAAGCCCAGTGCTGGATCTTGCCGGGCATCTGAGCCCACTCTTCATGTTGCCTTTCTAGGCCGGTGCAGGACACGATGCTCACCCTGGAGCCTCCCTTCTGGGCCTCCTCCCTAGAGGGAATGCCAGGCCAGCTCTGCCAGAACACTGGGAGACTGTGTGGCCAGCAGTGGCCCTGGGATATGTCCCACGTACACCATTTTCATACTATGTAGACCAGGCTAGCCTGGAACTCAGAGCTCCACCTACCTCTCCTGAGTGCTGAGATTAAAGGCATGGACCACCATGCCTGGCAGAGGCTGGTGAGCCTTTGTGAGCCTCTAAGGCATGGCCAGAAAACAGAGAGTGTATGCCTCTTCTGGGGTGCACAGTGAAAGAAGTTCCCTAAGGTGCGGGATGGGTGCTGAATTACAGTATCTGTGAGGTGGGGGCCACATTATACTTACCTTTGCAGCTCCAGTGTACCTGAAGTGGCATCTGGCACATAAAAAAAAAAAATCAGCTAGTAAATTGAACATTTGTAAGAGAATAAGAGCAGTTCAGACTTTACAGAGTCTGTTACTCCCTTAGCAGAAATAGTCTGGCTCAGAGAACGGGGAGGGAGGATGCATAGTAGACAGACAGACAGACAGACAGACAGACAGAGTAAACAGTAGGCTGAGGCCATTTTGAAGAGCCGAGCATGACACCATAGGTAGATAATCAGTGGAGACCCTGACAAGGGTCAGGCTCTGATTCCGGCATCTTCCACACGTGGCCTCTGGGTTTACCTCGAATGGCTTCATCCTACCAGCACGCCCTCCCCTGCTATGTGCTGTCTGGGGAGCACGCAGTGGTGAGCAGACCACTCAGGCCGCATCCTCCCCAGGCCTGCAGCCCAGGTATGTGTGGGGCGGGGGACAGACAGGTGATCTGTAACCATACTGCAGAAGGGCAAATATGGGAACTACAGAACTGAAGGCAGGGACACGGCCAAGCTGATACTTAAAGGACCAGCAAGAGCTAATGGGACCGAAAGTCTGGCCGAGGGTGCTCAGACGGAAGGAACAGCACTGGAAAAGACCCAGAGCAGGTTGGGAAGAGGAA